GCCCTATTTGAGTGAAACATCATTTCTTCCCTAATTAAATAAAATGACCTAAATATAGAAATTAAAAAGCATAAGCCTTTTCTGATTCCCAAGTATTCTTCACTGTCGGAGTGCATATAATACAGACAAACAAGTTTGTTTTTAATATGTGCAAGTTCATTCATACAAAATAACAAAAGAAAATTGATATATTGAATTAAATTATCGAGAGCATTAATCTGTGTGTAAATCTAAAACGAAAACATATAAAAATTTAAGAGAGAGAGAGAGAGAGAGTTATAGAATTAAAATATATAATGCAGAAATGGTCGATAAATTATACATCCTCTATCATAACGACTTACTTCAATTTTCACTCTATCTCCTGGTAGTGTCCATATAAAACTACACCGGAACTTTCATGAAACATAACCCAAGATTAGATCTTCATTATCTAACCGAACCCAGAACATACTATTGGGAAGCGATTCAATAATTAAACCTTCATGAATCCATTTTTGTTCTTACATTCCAGGTAAAGTCTCCTTGAAGTGTCAACTATACAATTTTTAGATGGACAATTGGCATCTCTAGGTTTCAAACCATTTGAATTCAAAGCCATTTATTAATGTGTGTGTGTGTGTGTTCATGAGAGCAAAAGAAAAGGAGTATTGTGCGCGTGAATCTGCGATGAAACCAATGGTAATATGATGTCTAAGAAACTTATTGCATGTAAATCCGTTTGTTCCTTTGTGGACGGGCTCAGATGGTGCACTAAGACATCCCAACTAAGTTGGCACCTCAGTAGCACTCTTACCATTTACCCCTTCCCCTTGTTAGTAACAACCAAAAAAATATATCAGTTTTCAAGTGAAAATCTGTCCGACATGCCAGGGAAAGAAAGAACAAGATCTAGGAACCATGTACAAAAACCAACAAAGCATACATACATTTTGGTGCATATTGACAACTAATGTAAACAAGATACCAAAAAAGATATTTCGCACGAAACTTTTTTTCCATTCTACCATACCAAAAAGTAAAATAATGCAAAGATAAATGTTTAGGATCCAGGGGCCATGTACAAAAACCAATTGCGCATACGTAATTTAGGTGCATATTGACAATTAATGTAAATAAAATACCAAAAATCGCATGATACTACGTACGTTGTAAAGAAGCTGGTAAAAGTATCTGATTTAAGCTACATATTTACCAATTTTATACTAAAAGTGTTCTAAGTAAAAAACTTTTTAAATATGTTTCCTTTATTGTAACATAGTATAGATACTAATACAATCGTTAAGTAAATCTTCAACTACATCCCAGATTTGTCCTAATCAACATAAAGTGCTGCCGCCATCTTCTCCGAAAAAAATGAATTTTGACAGAAATATGAATTCACGTTCCAAATCCTTGTCTCTGCTTCGTTGAATGTGTAATGCTTGACAATATTATTTAATGCATGCAAACTTTCTGATTTCCAACACTAATCTATATGAATTTGTGTGCAAAAGTTCTACCATCATTTCCTGTATATATATATAGGCAATTATGAATTAGCCTATATAGAGTTGTGTGTAAAGTAGGGAACCATGTATTGCTAGAAATTGAATTAAAGTTCGTTCCAAAGAGTAGACTTTAAGTAGAAATAGATTTTACTTTATAGAATAAGAACTGCGCTCAATTAATGATTTCCCACCATTCACATGTAAATGGCTTGCAAAAGACTTGAGTAAACACATAGCACATAGAACAAATAAATTCTAACTAAATACGGGTGATGTATTGTTATTCCAAATCATGTTTGTGTAATCTCATTATGCTCGGCTATTTGTCTAGATGGACACTATATTTTGATGTGTTTTAGTATTAACTCTAAGACTTAATGTTAAATACTTGTTTGACTTGAATGGTTGTTAGATTGTTAATATTTTCAATTACTTGATATATAATTGAATAGATTTGTGATTTCTATTTTGTTGTAGCATGAAGTAACAACATTGTAGAATTCAATAGTAAATAGAGATGTATTGATGTGTTTTGCATGATCTTATTGTCAATGTTCTTGAGACTGAGTTCATTTTCATATATTTAGATCCTTATATATTATGATTATATGGGAGTATAATTTTAATATTGATCAAGAGATATTATTCAATAAAATACCAATATTAATCATCATATTAATTATTGTTAATTTCTTCGACGGCTATTAAAGTTAAAAAAAAAATGTAGGGGGATTTGAGATCCTTGTGGTTTTGATTAATTGGTTTTCATAAACATTTCATAGTTTAGTTTAAAAAGCTTTATATTTAGTTAGTTTTGAGCAACTACCAAACTTAACATAATTGTACCATTCAGTATAAAGTTAATATTAATCAAAGTCTAATTGAATATGCAGTCCTCATGAAAACGATCTTTTGTTCACTCTTTATTATTTGTTTGCGAATCATATAGTTGAGGATTTTAGTGAACACGGTTGTTAGGATTGTATATAGCCCCATCTGGGCGCACTACTTTCACCAAAAATCAATTTTTGGGTCACATCAAAAGATAATATTTTGTTAAATAGAATGTTGAACTGTTCAATTCAAGATGAACCAAATTGTGGCTACCTTTTAGTGAACACAGTTGTTAGGATTGTATTTAGCCCTACCTGGGCACACTACTTTCACCCAAAATCAATTTTTGGGTCCATCAAATGATTCTATATTGTTAAATATAATGTTAAACTATTCAAGTCAAGATGAACCTGTGCTTACCTTTTAAAAGTCCATATTGCCATTTTTCTTCGTCCATATCGAATAAAAGTGAGGAAGGGAAATAAATGAGATAGAGACCATTAAGTATATAATCTTCTTCAAATGAAGGTAGTCAAAAGGTAGACACTGCGTGTTTTCAATTTTATATTGACCATTTACAGTAAAATCTATATAGATTAATTGAAAGAAGCTGCACCAGATGAAGGCTTAATGTAGTTTTGTTTATGTCAATATGTCATTCAATAGTCCTGCATCAATATCGCAGATTGTAGTTAGTTCGGTCATCATTTGTATAACCAAATAGTACTGATGCTCGAAGCAAATTGACAAAGAAGGAGGTCAGCAAAGATGATTGTTTAATTCTTTTTACTTCTCATTATTATAAGTAAAATAGGTCCTTTGAAAGCGCAATATCTTCTTGAAGAGATCCACCAGTTAAATCATAAATTGAAGGTTAAACTCGTGTCTATAGGTGAAAGGTGGCAATTAATTCATAAATTGAAGGTTAAACTCGCGTACATATGGTGACAAGGTGACAAAGTAGCTGACTGGGCAGCTATTTGTTTGATCTGATTGACTCAACAAGATCACTTGATGGAGTCAAAGAAGAGAGATACTAGAGAACAAAAATATTGTTACACATGAATCTGGATCCGTTTAATAGGTGTCCATATGGGCTTGAATCTCGAGTTAGTTTGATATTGGAATAAAGACTTTTATTTGTGCAAAACATCTAACTCATTTAATTTAATGTATTAAACATGAATCTTTAATCAAATTTAATTGTTAAACAAAGATAACCTGTGTTTCAATTTTTTTTTTTTTTTAAATAAACATAACTTGTTGTCTTGTTAAAAAATCTTCAATTAGCCAAATATTTCTTTAATTCGTATACCAAATGTTATGATCACGAAGCAAGATAATTGCAAGATGGAATAAATCAATCACAAACACGAACACTATGTTGAAACCCAAGACACGTGTTAGGATTTTATTGTATTGGCAATTCTTTAGACAAAAAAAAGTCTAATATGAAATGTTTTAAAAGTCAAGGAGTCGATTGAAATATTGTATAGATGAATTAGGTAAGTTAAGGTTCGACTTTGAAACAAAGAGGAAAGAGCTGCTGATTTACACTAGCATATCGCCCATTTGATGCTCGAGTGGCAAAGACAAAAACTCTATCACTCGCATGTCGTCCAACTATCACTCAAGCGACAAACCATCGCTCACCTATCTCTGAACTCTCGCTCGAGTGACGGTGCTATGCACAAAACCCTAGTTCACATTTTTTAAGAGTTTTGACCGGCTCATGCTACCTAAATACCTTATATTATATACACCCAACCCCTAACACAAATTTTGGGTAGTTGTTCATTATAATTCTCCTACATATCATCCTTCAAATATTCAAAAACACATTCAAGCCTTTGATTTAGTCATTGATTCTTGAGTTCATACAACCACATATTTGAAAAAAGCGTCAACTTTATATAATCCAAAACACACATCTCCTATACACATAGAGGAAGCTACTTTCTCAAAAACTTTAAGAGATTACTGCTTATTGATAGAGGTTGGACCAAAAGTACAAGAAGTGTACAAGAACAAGGGTTTATGGTGATCAACAAGAGATAGACAATTCTAAAAGATCGGGCACAAGTGCAAGTGAAGCACATTCTAGCCAGTCTTGGAGATTGCAAGAAGTATATCAATGAATCTAGTGAAATTTTCTAGACTGAATCTTACTGTAAGTTCATTATTGTTTGTAGTGGAGGTTACTGGCTTGGTCCCAAACTTTTTACCCAGTTGGGTTTCTCCGTCATTGTTTATTGCTTTTATATTACAAATTGTGGCAATTCAACATAAGATAATTTGACTTATTTGATTAACCATCTAGAAACAATTAAAAAGTGACTTGTTGCTTTTAGTTGTATAATTCCGCACGTTAGGTCAAAATAAATTGGCTAAATAAAACTTTCAAGTGATATCTAGAGCTTTTCAACACGAAAATATTACGAGGCAGAATATGAGAATTTACTAGATCAAAAATCAAGATCAATGATTATTGTTACAAGATTCGATGTACTCTCAAACAAATCTAATGTGTTTCTAATGTTTCAAAGAGATTATAAGATATGGAGTATACATAAGACCTCTATTCTAGTGTTTTAGATGAAATAGGAATCAAGAAATTTATAAGAATCGGGAATTTGTTCCTAGGCGAATAACACCGCCTATTAAGCACACTAGCTTTCAGCTAGCGAGTGACCAAGGCAGCACTTGAGCACTGGGTCTATAGCGTTTAGGCACTACGTCTAGTGACAAAAACCTCCAAATCACTTCGAATGGGACGCTTGATGCCTTGTCTTCGTCCAAAACCTGTCAAATCCATATTTTGAAACTCTCAATAAAACACCAATTCCTTTCCAACCAAAACGCCAATACCTAATGGAATGTGGGTCACAATTCAATACTGAACTATGCAAATCCTTTGTACTGATTTGACTATTGTATTGAGAGCCAGGGCAGAGGCAAATGAACTTGTTCTCTATAGCATTCCATGGCAAATACAAGTCCTAAATGTGCTCACACTATACTAAGCCTCTGTCTGGCAATCATTATTTGGGAAAAAATATTTTGAATAGTGAATTTTAAAAGAATATGTGGTTAAAAAATAGGAAAAATTTTGGGTTTACATGCAAAATATTTATTGTGAGAATATGTGGTTGAAAATGAGTATAAGAATAAAAGTAGTTTGAAATAATGGTTATCAAATAGGGGCTAACGCCATATCTCCATGCACTTTTTTTCACAATCGACATCTCTTAGAAATCAACTGGACAAGAATATTTGGTGCATAGTAATGAATAGAACTATGTGCATGATTATATGAAATGAGAAACAAGTATCTTCAAGCCTTGAGTAAGGGTGTTATCACCAGGTCATTGGTTTTTTAGCCACGTCGATGCTATTACATCATTCCCAAGGGCTTCCTTAGCCATTTTCCACCTCCAGCACCTCCTGACCACCTCCAGCACCTCCTGACCTGTTGAATCAATATCTTTTAGATTTCCTTAAGCATTTAGAAGACGTAGAAATGAGAGAGAGCTAACCTGGTGGTGGGTGCAAAGAAATAAGCATAAGGAACCAGCATGCCAGCAGTGGAAGGTGAAATAGCACCCAAAAAGAACAAGTTCATAAGCTGTCTTTTTCCCATGTTCGGCACATGGTCATCTGCTGAAATCCTTGCATATTGGAATCTGATCTTCATACCCTTTACCTTTTTCTCACTCGTATATGGTTATTCTTGAAATAGCTTCAAAGTACTGGATAAGTGGGCTTTGCCTTCAATCAGACCATTGAGATGATGGATGCAGAAGTTCAGCTCCTCCAAATGGAGAATAACTAATAGTACTCCTTGTTGAGGAAAATATCTATCAACAGCTCCAGTCTTCTCAAGCAAACTTCTTGCAACAACAGATTACTTGCCTCAATCATCTCCAACAGATTACTTGCCTGATTGCAAGGAATTCCAATAGAAGAGTAGCCTAGAATCACGTCCAATTGTTGACTGTAAATCTTAAATTTAGGGACTCGTTTACTGCTAAACATGTATATATACATATGTGCTGTAGTGTAAATCATTAAGCTGAAAATATAGTTTTTCTCCAGCATTACCTCTTTCAATATTTCTTCTCCTGCCATCTCTTCTTTCTTGGTATCAGAGCATCTCAGGCTCACGCCAACTCTCAATCCAACACCTCCTTCATGGCCATTTCAACCACTGCTGTTGACACCAACATTGGATCTTCATCTGCCACTTCCTCCCCCACATTTACCTATCCAAATGTTACCCAATTGGTCTCTGTTAAACTAGATGAAACCAATTACTTGCCATGGATATCTTAATTTCTACCCATCCTCCGTAGCCATGATTTATTGGGCATCGTTGACTGATCTGTGCTGTGCCCTCCTCAATATATTTTTACTGGCCCTAGTACACCCGCTACCACTCTAAATCCAGATTTTTGTAATCTGGACTAAGAAAGACCAGTACCTCCTCAGCTGGATCAATGCTACTCTCTCAGACAAGGTCCTTTCCACTTTCTATGGTTTGGACACCTCCATGAAAGTGTGGACTTCTATTGCATCCCACTTTGCATCTCAATTTCCCTCATGTATTGTACAGTTGAAAAGACAATTACAAATCCTTCAACAAGGCTCGAAGACATGCTCTGACTATCTAAAGTCGGCCAAGGCTCTTTCTGACCGGTTGGCCGCTGTTGGGAAACCTTTGGATGATTTTGATCTTATTTAATTCATCTTGAGTGATCTCAACCCATCCTTCACTTCATTTATCACGGCATTTTCCTTAGCACAACGTGGTCAGAATTTTATCTTCGAAGATTTTCAAGCTGAGCTATTTGGCCATGAATTGCTGCTTATCCTTTTGAGGCTAGTGGCTTTGCTCTTTATATTGGCAAACCTCGTCATTCCATGCCTCACTGGAAGCAAGAGCGTCCTCAAGGCTCTCCTGGCTGGCAGACTCATAAGCCAAAATTTTCTAACCAGAATTTACGTCGTGGTTTACCATCTCAGCAGCAACCTGCCTTCTCTGTCCAGCCAGCTACAGGACAACAGCTTCCTTCCATTCTCGGCAAACCAAAATCCACAGGCCAGATTTGTGGTCGTAACAACTATGAAGCTTTAGATTGCTTTCATAGGATGGACTATGCCTATCAAGGGCGTCATCCTTCAAATAAATTGGCTGCTCTTGTTGCTCAGTCCAATGCCATGATTGAAGAACGAACTTGGTATGCAGATAGTGGGGCAAACAACCACATCACTCCTACGGTCGAGAACCTAACCAAGCATCAACCTTTCCATGGATCTGACTCAGTTGCTGTTGGTAATGGAAAGGGGCTCCAGATTGCAAACACTGGTTCAGCATTCTTTTCTCACCGAACATCAAATCTCCGTTTATCGAATGTTTTACATTGCCCATCTGCATCTACCAATTTATTATCTATTCAACGTTTTTGTCAAGATAATGATTGCTATTTTGTACTCACTGCATTTTTATGTGAAGGAATCTCGGACAAGGGCGCTACTGCTTGAAGGGCGTAGTGAGAATTGTCTATATCCAGTCAAACTCCAAAGATCAGCACCAGTAGCTCTCCTTGGAGTAAAAACTAGCTTTTCCGAATCCCATTATGTCCTCTATAATAAAATCGCACTCTTTACCTATTTTATTAAATGAGAAGAATAAATTGACTGGAATTTGCCAATCATGTCAACTTGGCAAAAGCAAGAAATTACCCTTTCCCCGCTCATCCCGTCAAAGCACTTATCCTTTAGAGATAATTCACTTAGATGTTTGGACTGCACCAATTACTTCTCTAAATGGTTGCAATTATTTTGTTGCCTTCATAGATGATTTCTCCCGATTTACATGGATTTATCCACTTGCTTGAAAATCTGATGTCTTTCATTAAATTTAAATGTGTGGCAGAAAATCTTCTCTCTCATAAGATTAAACAATTTCAATCTAATGGGGGTGGAGAATTTAATTCCACATCTTTTCATTTGTTTTTATCCCAACATGGCATTTTACGTAGAAAATCATGCACTCATCCCTCATAACAGAATGGTATCGCTGAGAGAAAATTGAGACACATCCTAGAAACTAGCCTTACACTAGCTCATTCTTGGCTTCCTAAAGAATTTTGGGTCAATGCTTTTACTACGGCGGTTTCTCTCATTAATTGCCTTCCCACACCAGTTCTTGAAAATATCTCTCCTTACCAAAAGTTGTTCAATCAAGCCCTAGATTATTCATTTATCAAAAGCTTAAGTTGTCCTTGTTATCCACTTCTTAGACCATACACTAAACATAAACTAGAACATCGCACCAAAGCTTGCATTTTTCTGGGATATAGTGCTGGTCACGAGGGTTACAGATGTTTTGAACCTCTCTCTAGAAAATTCTACATCTCCCGCCATGTGATCTTTGATGAATCTCTCTTCCCAGGACTAGATAAAGCTTTGCCTACTACCTCTTAACAGCAAAAGGCTCCATCTGCAATAAAGGTGAGTTTCCCTGGTTTATCTCCTTCATCTATTATATCTAATTTTCCTACAGTTGACCCTACCTTGTCACTACCTACATCAACTCCCCTTAGCACACCTCTCTCTCCAACAACATCATCACCTCATTACTCCAATCAAGATCTCCCCCACTCACCTATAATATTCTCTCCCACCAAAACAAACAACGATATTTCTCCCTCTTCCAAAATAAATTCAACCAAAATATCATCTTCTCCATCAATACATTCCAGTGAATCAATGTCTATCCTGCCTTTCATCTTTCTCCATGCATGCAAACTAGATCACAGACAGGATCACTTAAACCAAAAACATTTCCAAAGTTTACCCTCTATCACTCTACCTGACATCCCATAAAGGGAATTTCATCACTTTGCAAACCATAGAGCCCTCAAATTACAATAGTGCTGCCAAAGATCCTAAGTGGCAAGATGCCATGAAGTAAGAATTTGATGCGCTAGTTTCTAATAACACATGGACTCTCTATCCTAGACCACCTCATTGCGACATTGTTCGGTCCAAATGGGTATATAAAATAAAACAGAAGGCTGATGGCACCATTGATCGATTTACGGCTTGAATTGTAGACAAAGGTTTTCAACAAAAGAGCGGGGTAGACTATCACGAAACCTTTAGTCCTGTGATCAAGCCCACAACTGTCAGATTACTATTAGCATTAACTACTCAATTTGACTGGCCTATTCGTCAACTTGATGTATCTAATGCTTTTCTTCATCGAACTCTTGCAGAGAAAGTGTTTATGGAACAACCACAAGGATTTGTGGATCCTACCTATCCGAATTATGTGTGCTCTCTAAACAAGGCAATCTATGGTCTTAAGTAAGCGCCAAGGGCGTGATTCTCTCGCCTATCAAATGTTCTTACCGACTTTAGTTTCCTTGGCTCTAAAATGGACTCATCATTATTTATCTATTATGCCTCTGATGTACACATTTATATTCTTATCTATGTGGATGATATTCTTGTTACAGGCACTCATGTTCATATTATTCAGGAAGTTATTTTCGCATTACAAAAGATCTTCCCAGTTAAAGATCTTGGTCCTCTTGCATTTTTCCTTGGCATTGAGGCATCTCGAGATTCCTCTGGACTTCTTCTGTGTCCGGCCAAATATATTATTGATGTTCTTACCAGAGTTGAAATGATTGGCGCCAAGCCTTACGCGGCTTCATGTGTTGCTGGCACTCAATTGTCCACAACAGCTGGTGAAGCACTTCCTGATCCGACTCAGTACAGACATGTAGTAGGTGCCCTCCAATATTGTACCATTACACGACTTGAAATTGCCTTCTCTGTGAATCAGTTGTGTCAACGTCTTGCCTCACGATCACAGCTCACTGGATTACGGCTAAGAGAATTCTTTGGTACTTAAAAGGGACGGTTGACCATGGTCTCTTCTATCAGAAAGGGAACATTCATCTATCCGCCTGTTATGATGCGGATTGGGCAGATAATCCCGATGATAAAAAATCAACAACTGGATTTGGTATATTTTTGGGCTCATGCTTAGTCTCTTGGGGTGCTAAAAAGCAACCTGTGGTCTCTCGTTCAAGCATCGAGGCCGAATATAGGGCAATGGCCGTTACTACTGCGGAGTTATATTGGTAAAGAATGTTACTACATTTACAAGTTCCACTTCCTTCTCCTCCAACATTGTGGTGTGATAATGCTAGTGCCTTAGCGTTGGCCTCGAATCCCGTATTTCATGCTCGCACAAAGCACATTGAGATTGATTATCACTTTGCACGTGACAAAGTTGTTAATGGAGATATTTTAATTAAATATGTTCTGAGCACCAAGTAACTGATCTTTCCACCAAGGGCCGTAGTGCACCACGATTTTTACATCTTCGGTCCAAGCTGCTGGTTAGCTCACCTCCCATCAGCTTGCGGGCTGGTGTTGAGGAAAATATCAATTAGTCTTCTCAAGCAAACTTCTTGTAATCAGCAGATTACTTGCCTCAATCCTCTTCAGCACCTCAATCATCTCCAACAGATTACTTGCCTGATTGCAAGGAATTCCAACAGAAGAGCAGCCTAGAATCACGTCCAATTGTTTACTGTAAATCTTAAATTTAAGGACTCATTTACTGCTAAACATGTATATATACATATGTGCTGTAGCGTAAATCATTAAGCTGAAAATTAGTTTTTCTCCAGCATTACCTCTTTCAATATTTCTTCTCCTGCCACCTTTTTTTTCTCTCCTAAGCTCATAAATATGGTTGTAATGAGTCATATACATCCCCTCTCCCTAATAACCGCTTTACATTCTTAGAGTTAAGGTGAAGTACCACTATTTACCTTTTTCTTTTTCTTATAAGGTTTGGATTTGATAACTTAAAGTGACTACTAAGAAAAGTTGATGATAACATGAAAAGGGTTGTGATCAGAGAATAGGATCTTATTTGTTTGCTCCTATGCGTCATGAAGTGTCCTTAATATGCTTATCAGATTACACTGGATGATAATAGTGTGATCTTATTTTGATTTCTGCTGATATGTACAGCACTTCAGGTCCCTTCTCAAAACAGAAAAAGCTTTGACGAAATGTTATGTAGATCATTTATGGACCTGTTTGGGTAAATTTCTTCATCTATCATATCAAGTCTTGTCCAATTCAATGTCACAAACATGCAATGAATATCTTTCCTACAGTAAATATCATTTGTATTTCTTCAACTATATTCGTCGATGCATTAAGAGCTTTTTTTCTGGAGGTAGAATACCTCTCTCATTTATATTTAACTCTATTTGTTCCCAAGAATTTTCCTAAGCTCACTACAAGGGGCAAACTTAATGGTGTCAGCTTCACGTGATACTAACAGGGAATATTTAACATTTGAAACAAAGGTCAGCCACATACTTCCCCCGCCTTTGTGCTTTTCACCCTCATGTCGTCATCATATTGTGAGTTGGTTCACAAACATTGTATATACCATGCCATCTCAGATGGCTCCAATGTTCGTTCAAACTGAACAGCATAACTTCTTAGCAATAGAATCCTCAATCTATGATGAAATTATGCACTCTTCTCTGGAGGTGCACAAGGATGTGATTCTATCTCGAATATCCACTAGACTAAACAGCTCATATCATTGCACTGCACCCATAATTAAGTCGGTCATTCTTGGAAGAGTAATGTTATCTTTGTTCATGCATATGGACATAAAAATTTGAATAGTGCCATGTAGCATAATAGGTGTTAGCACCGGTCTACATAACAAGACGTGGATTCATGACCTTTTTCTATTTTTTAATCATACATTCTAAAAAAATCACTTTCTAAAGTCAAAATAAAACAAGAGCTAAATGATAGGTTCGATTAAATATATGGGAATGGGTTCATGAACTAGACCTATCATTTAGTGAAACATGGCACCAGCGGTGCTAGATAGAATGCCTCTAAATTCTTTTGACATCTGGAGTAGCCTTATGTCCAAAGCTATGTTGCATAAAAATCAGCTATACTTTGTCCATGTGTACTCTTGTGAAAAAAAAATAAAAAAAATAAATGAAGGGACTATTGAGAAAAATAAAAAATCCAATATAACATACAAAATATTAAATATCCACAACCAACTAGCATTGGAGTTGATTCAAATTTGTGTTGATTCAAACCTCATGATCGAATACATAGCGCAAATTTGTTTATTTATCCTCTAAAGCACAGAAGATGTGTTGGTTCAAACCTAATCCAGTGTTGATGCCATGTAGCCACCTTCAAACTGATGCATAAAGATATTACCCGGAATCTGCTTCTTCCATTCCAATCTTTGGGATCGAATCAGTTAATCAGGATTAGATGTCATTCCATAATCACAAATTCACGTGTTAGAATTTTCCTGAAAATATAATTTGTAATATTACTAGAACAAACAAAAAGGCATATAAGGAAAAATTTCAAACAAGGCTGGTTTCTCGACAGAATAAATATTATAATAGTAACTTGCAGACAATTTTTCTCATAATATCATATTAAAGGAACCCATCGAAGGAGTTGCGGACAGAAATATTCTAAAATATAAACTGTGATAAAGAAACCTGTAGAGGAGTTGTAAACTACTGGATGATGATGGAAAACAAAGATGTCAAGTGTAGCGGAATAGATCTTCAATTCGTGGAATTCGAGTACAGCATACCAATCCCAACCTTATCAAACACACCCAAGTAATGGCTCCAATCCACAACTATTTTTACTTCGGTTGCTCAACTCAATGTATTCACAATGATCACAATAGGGTGGCTGCAATAAGTAACCAAGAAGAGAGGAAGATAAGTTTCAACTCCAAGAGAGAGAACACAATAAAAGTTGGCGGCCTTTTCTCACAATTGCACACACACAGAGCTTCTTCAAGCAATGAGGCCAATATATTTTTAGGGTGTAATAGTAATGGGCTAATATAGTGGGCTCATGGACCAACACATGGTAAAGGGCCGGAACACAAAAGAGAGACATTCAAGAAGTAAATGGGTCGTGAGCAACATTAATTAAATTAAGTTGCTTTCAATGATCCTCAAGTTGTTTTCAGGTTAAGCCAATTAATTGAGTGTGTTGATAGATATTTCACTCATCAGCCGAAGCCTATGAAATATATCCGGAAACTGTTTAACCTCATTGCCGAAGATCTATTGGGATCAAAACCCAACATCAGGAAAGGAAATTTACCTCGTCCAAGTTTTCTCTTAGCAGCAAGGTTTTTTCATCGTACACAAACCTCATGAATGTGTACTCCAGTTAATTCTTTTCTTTGCAATAAGCCATCAATAGGCTTTGTATTTTATAGTCATGTCAAACTCGATGGTAGATTTCATCTCCATCCTACCATGCCAAAAGCAAAATGATGCAAAGAGAGTGGCTAGGGTCTAGGGACCATACAAAAACCAATTGAGCAGCATACATACTTTTCATATAGACAATTAATATAAACAAGATGCCAAAAAATATTTCACTCGAAACTTCGTACTTTTTAAAGATGTTGGTATTAGATTCAAGCTGCATATATACCAATATTATACTAAAAGTGATTCCAGTAGAAAAATATCTAAATATTTTTCTCTAAAAGCAACGTAGTATATATGCAAATATCATTGTGAAGTAAATCTTCAATTAAATCTCAGATTTACTGCTGCAATTCATTTCCTGTCGACTTTGCATTTTGATGAGAGGATGTCAGAACAGGCGGTCCGTGATCATGGGGACTACCACAATCATCGAAAAATGAGTTTGTCGATCGCGAGTTCGCTGTCTTGAAAAAATTGCTGTGAATTTCTATTTTTTTCTGTTGTTTGTTGTTATTGGAACATGTATGGACGCAGTTTGATGAGTTTGAGTGACCTGTGAGGTGCAATGAATATGGAAATCCATGGATTTGGTTGAATTTGTAAGAAAATCGTGCATGAGAGGCGATTTTTGGACAGAAATTAGTTCGGTTTTGATGTGATTTGGGGCTATTGTTGGTGTGGGGACGTTAGCGGTTGATGAGGAGATGGTGGTGCAAAAATTCGGAGGCCACGATGGTCGAAAGTTCGATTCCATGGTTGGTGGCTAAAGGTTTGAGGTTTATGTGGGGTTAGGGGGTAGAAGTTGATTTTTTTTTCTTTTGTTTTTTTTTTTTTTTTTTTTTTTTTGGGGGTGGGGGGGATTATTCTGGAGACTTTTTACTAGACCTCTTAGATAAACTCTAGAAAGTGCTCCCATTAGCCAAATCTTTTAACTCCTTTAAGTTGTGAAAGTTCTTTAACTCTGTTTTGCTGTAATTCAAAGTTTTAGCCTCAAACTCAAATACTTGAAGAATGTAACAACATTTGAAGCATTTATCTCTAGATACTCCTAAACAACACCCAAGGCAGATTTTCTAGAAATATTTAGCAAATCATGTTGTGATTTTTAATTTTTCACTAAATTATTGTTGGAAAATGGAGCTTTTTTGCATAATTTAGAGTGGGGCTCACTTCTTCTTTCCGAAGATGAAAATAAATTCGTATTCTCTTGCATGATAACATGAGAATCATATATTTACTTGGCCAAAATGATGATCGAATGTATGAAAACTGAAGTTTAAAATATACCTGTTGTTAGTGGTTTAAGTGTTTGAGGGAGAGTATGTTTGCTTGAATAAAGAATTGTTCACTTCATTTAAAGCGACTAAGAATGGGAGGAGCTATTTATGGAAAGCTGAACAAAATTTGAGATGAAAGGTCAAGACGTGGATGCTATTAAAATGACTTCTAGAAAAGAGTTGACTCTTAACAATATGGTGTACGTACCGAAAATCCGCAAAAATAAAAAAAAATAATAATAATAATAAGGTGTTGACAAATTCATTTTATCTGAGAGTAAAATATTTGTTGGCAAGAGTTATGCATCTCATTAGCTATTTAAGCTCAATGTAATGTTTGTAAAGTCAAAAACAAATAATGTTGATTAATTCTTCTGTTTATTTGCTTGAGTGTTTCAATTTGTTAGCATGGTGACTAGAACATGTTAATTGTGATAGTTTGGTAGAATAAGTAACTAGAATTTCATGCCTGCATTTCGTATTTTTCTAAACAAAAGCACAAGACTTGTGTTGAGTTAAAATTAACAAAGTCATCATTTCAATCTATTGACATTAATATAAAACCACTTCATTTAAGTTACAATTACATTTATGATTTAAAATATGTAAAAATAATAGGTAACAACAAATACGTCATTACTTTTATTGATAATAGTACAAAATACTATTTATGTGTACCTTGGCGATTAAACTATAGAGAAATTTGTCATTTATAAGAACGAAGTTGAAATTCAACTCAATAAAAAATTAAGATGTTGAGAAGTGATCGAGGTAGTCACGATGAAGCCCCATTTGCTGAATTATATTCAAAACATGGGATCGCAAATGAAACACGTCACTCTATTCACCCCTGCAAAATTGTGTTGTCGAACGAAAAATTATACTTTAAAAGAAATGATGAACGCAAATTTAGTAAGTTCATCATAACATATGAGGAGAAGTTGCGTTGTCACCAAATTACCATCTAAATTAGGTGCCTAGTAAGGGGGAAAATACCCTATGAGTTATGAAAAAGAAGGAAGATTCCTATAAGTACTTAAAATTATAGGGGTAACTTGCCAAAGTGGTGTACCTACACCAAAGAAGTTGAACATAGACCCAAAAACTTAGATTGCATATTCATTAGCTAAGCACATAATAGCGATACTTATCGATTTTTTGGGCATGAGTCCAAAATCTCAGATATACACAAAAATGCGATAATAGAATACAGAGATTTTTTGTCTTTGGACATGTATTTCTATATAGATCTGGCAAGAAAAAAAAAGTTCCTCTAAACAGACACATAAAACTATGGTCAACAACAACCAAGACCAAGGACTAGAAGAAAAATTGAAGGTTGAACCAAGACTTCGCAAAATAACAAGAACACAAAAAACTTTTGGTCCTAAATTTCTAGCTTTTATGGAGAAAAGTGAACCTCTAATCTTCCAAGAAGTTGTGAACTCTTCAGAAGAATCTCTATGGAATGAAGCCATTAAAAATGAAATAAACTCCATTGTGGAAAACCACACATGGGAATTGATGGATCTTCCTCTAGGATGCAAACCATTTTACAAATGGATTTTCAAAAGTAAAATGAAAGTAGATGGAATTGTTGAGAAGTAGAAGGCAAGACCATTGATAAAAGACTACATACGACAAGAATGCCTAGATTAATTTGATAATTTTTCTCTAACAACGAGAATAATGTCTATTAAGATGACACCTAAAACAATTATGTTATTTTATGTCTTTACATTAACGACATGCATATTGTTAGTAGCAAATAAGATGATAAAATCTATTAAAAATATGTTGAATTTAAGATTTGTCATGAAAAATATGAGTTTAGCTGATATGATGCTTAATATTAAAATTTCAAGAACAAAACTCTTGAAAATTTTAATAAGGATGATTTTGGAATAACTAGAATGTCGATAGATATAAGTCAGCATCTATCGAAGAATAGAAATAATGATGTCTCAACACTACAAGAATTTTATGTTTTCCCTACAAAATATAGGGAAATATTCGTAATTGTCAGAAAAAACATTTGCAAACGAAAAAAAAAAATTGTAGGTGCATTTGTGGGAAATTGAGGGGTTAGGTAAAGACGACAAATTTTTGAAATTTGTAGGCTAAAGTTTTTCTCGACAAACCCTTTGGAGACGAATACAATTCGTCGCGTAAGTTTTTCCCCGACAAAGTAATTCATCTGATAAAGTTACTTCTGCCCACAAAATGATTTCGTTTTTCCCTACAGATTATGTAATAGGCTAAATTGTGTTTGATCCCACAAATAATATTTTTTGTGGAGAATTTATTTGTGGGCCAAGATATAGACTTTCCCTACAATTAAAAGTTTGCGACAACATGAACAAATTATTTTGGGGGCTAAACCCTATTTTTCTACAAATAACTTTTAGTGGGGAAAGCATGTCTGTGGGCTATTGAAAAAGAATTTGTAGGGGGGAATTAAACTATTTCTATAATTTTTATTTTTAATTTATATTATAATAACTTTTTTGAACCTCATTCAAAATAAGATAAAGATACAAAAATCATAATAAATCAATTAAAATGTAATGTCAATCAATGTAACATTGAATCCAAAAATTTCATCAAAACACGAATAAATGACATTCACCAAGTATAATTGTATCTAAAGTTAAAATGAGTAGAGTAAACATGCTCTATATGCATATAAAAAACATGACTCTTTATTCCCGTGAATTAGATATGTGCTGATTCTCTCTTCATCCTCAACAGCATCATCTTTCCCATTACCATTATTCTCTATTGAAAATGGTATAAATGCAATGAAGCCAAGAAATTTACCACATAACTGTCGTATAGAATGATGCCAATACTGTAATGTAGAATTGAATCGTTGCTCAACAACATTTAGCTTGTTTTGCATATTTTGCTCCATGTTTACTCGAGCTGCATTGGCTACCTTACAAGCAGCACGTTCTACTTCCAACTCCTTCTCCCAATTGTGTAAATTGGAAGAAGATATCCCAATCTCTCGAACCAATGTCTCGAAGGCATCCATCTCCTAACCCAAGAATTTGACACTCGGGCTTCATACCTAGAACGGACATCATAATATTAATTCCGGCATCTCTACAGGTATCTTCTCCAAAGGGGTATCTTTGGGAAGTTGTTGCTCCTTTTCCCTCTCTACAAAATATTCATACTCTTTGACAAGCCTCTCTTCCTACAAACACAACAACAAGATATATAAAACAATCCATAAAATAAAAATTTGCAAGAGATAACACAACTGTACCTAAGAGATATAGCACAAGCTAAGAAATATAATTAATTCTCAAAAAAAATTTAATTTTTTAACTAATAATCAAAACATTTACTTCAATTGAGAAACGATTTAGTAAAAGATTAGGTCAAAAATAAGCATGAGAATATAATTTTTCATTATTAACGATTCAATATACCAAGATCGATAATTTTTACCATTAACATGACATATTTAGAAACACTATGCAAGAAAAAAAATATTTTAAAAAAAATCTTTCTCAAAAG